GACATTTCTCTGTTGTTCAGCTCTGAAATTATACTTAAACAATTATTCGTCTCAGGTTCGGTGCATATTGTCGAATAATCCCCTCGACTTCATCTTGGGGATTATTCGACGATATTCACCTCACCTTCGGCGAATAATTGTTAAATATAGTGGGTAGCAAACAAACAAGATGGCACATGGTTTCTGTTACATAAATATATCTAAATCCCTTTGATTACATATTGAGGGCAGGGTAAAAGGGGTATAAAGTTTGAGCTGTAAGATGTGGCCCAGGTGTATCATTGACAATTTCCTTCATGCAACATTCTGGAATAATTTTTGCGAAAATATTTGTCCCTCAGACGAACTCTCTCCACAAATTCATCAGAGAAACTCGCTTCAGAAGCAGTACAATGTGAAGAAGAGCATTGGAGCATCAAAGAGATGCTGCATGTTATACCAACTTACCACTCACTGAGTAATAATTAACAACTATTCACCGAAGTGGAAGTGGTTATAGTGGTGGATATTTACAGAGCCGCGAAGCGGCGAGGTAAATATCCACTGCTAACCACCAACACTGAGGTGAATAGTTGTTTTAGTATATATGCTAAAACAGTGAGATAATATACACCACCAAAAATTAATGAGTGATTTCTTCGCTTGTCACGGACGCAAACCGGGACGTCATTTTTTCCTGAGTTGCTCGGAGGTAAATAGCAAAGGATATTCCGAGTTTGATTAGCCCATCAGAGTGCGCCTTCAACGCTATCCAATGTTTTAGTATATACTAACAATTAATATTCATAATAATACCAATATTTAACCACACTTGGTGAGGCTGTTTTTAGTGGGGACCACAATGATTAATTAATTGCCTAGTTGGTTAGGTAATGTTAAAAATATAAATAAAAAGTAATATAATTGTAATAATATGTTTCTAATATTTAAAAGGAAATTTATAGAACATCAAAGAAGAAATTACTTAAAAATTAGTTTAAATTTTTCAAAAAGTTTTAAGGTTTGCTTCAAAATCAGATAAAAAAAATTACTATAGCTTTGTGAAAAAGAGTTGAAATTTCACCTAGTTCTGTTGGTGTATCTGTCCACGTCAGGGTTTGTTTCTGTGTCTTCTTTCCTTCACTGTCAGTTATAATGCTGATATCATCACGACAAAGAATAAGTTCTCCACTTGGCAAAGTAGCTATTGTAGGCTCTAAATGACGACCAGTGGAGAACAGCTCTGTTGCAGCACCAGTGCTTGTCTACAAAAGAACCAATTGTTTGTTGTTTTGTTTAGAGCAAACTATTGGTTAAACTAATTTGTACAGTGAGGGGTTTGAACTCACGGGTAACATGTGATTGTGTACTCTGATTGTCTGGCGAGGATAGTCCTGAGTCAATGCTACTGACCAGTCCTTCTCCAAGACTACCCTCACCTGGACATTCAAACTAAATGATCAAAACTAATTAAATGAGACCAATCTGCCATGAAAACCATGGTGGCCACTACGGTTATTGCTTGGCAAGAATTGAGGGTGAGCGCATGTGACTAAAATTTCTTTGGAGTAAGAATGGACCCGCTCTCTTGTACACAACCAACAAAAATATAATCAAAGAGAGTTTTAAGCCTTTATTCAACCATACTATTTTGGAAAAACAACTACAATTCAGAATTTGAAATATGCCTCCTTCGGGACTTCAAATCTGACAAGAAAAGTTCACTTCTTTATAGCACTTCCAATATGGTTTTGGTACTTAGCACAGCTGTATATCTGGAGGTTATGAATGTAGGCTGAATAACACCCACCCTTAACCTTAAACTCACAGAAGTGATTGACATGTAACTTCTCCCTATAATATTCATACATTATCCAGCAAACAGGTAATGGGAATACTCAAACTTATCCAGGCAGAAGTTGTTACCTTGATCTAACAATAATTTCTTGTAAGCAATTTTCAAGGGAATGTGTACCAGCTAGTGGGGAGAATTAAAGATCAGATCTTACAGTTTAAGGGCTTTTACAGTGGTTAACTTTTAGTAAAAGGAATGTACCTTTATGAGAGAGTATTCTTTTTTGAAGCCAACACAGAGAGAGTCCTTTGACCAAACTAATGCCTTAGCTGCATCTGGCACCAAAAGATCTTCTAGCTCTTGGAATTCTCCATTCCTCCAACTAAATAACTATTATTATATATAGAAATTGAAATTTCAGTAAAAAAAAGTCATGTAAATGCTAAATGGCCAGCTAGTTTACAGCTAGACAGACAAACCAGTCCACTCGTTGATTGGTTGGAAGCTTTTGCTCAAAATCAGAGACAACCCTTTAAGAGACCTTTTTCATTTTTCCCTGATGCACTCTCTTTTTCCTTTGTCCAGTTAGAATGAACCAGGATCCCCTCCTTTATGAGACCAACAGCACTGCCCCGCACTAAAGTTTTCTCTTTGTTAAATTCTTTCATGCTCATTGCTTACTCGCCTGCAGTTTCCGTTTCACTGAAACACATAACTTTAGTTCAAGAGCTGGTGAAGGATCTAAATGAATAAAAACAGAAAATATATTATATTCCCATCAAAACTAGCAGGGGAACACCTCACGCTAAAAACCTGGCAAAGGCTTTGGTGATGCGTTGTCATGAGTGACGAAGAGAACAGGAGTTGGGTTAAAAAGCACATGTAAGACTGGTTAACTTGGGATAACAAAGTAACAGTGCACATAGAAAACCTGAACAGATATTTCATTTGAGAATCTTTAACTCACCAAAAACTGAGGATTGTTTCCTTTCCTGTATATTAAAGGACAATGAATTTAAGACAAAGAGACTGATGACCTAATTTCCTTAAAGGGGTGTGCTCTTGGAAGAACCAATCTCTGAAAAGAACTTTCTTTATTTGAAAGTCAGTCAGAGTAACTTGGTTTGTTTGAGAGAGAGTTGCAAATGTCATTTCAGTCCAAAGATGAAAAAAGCTCTTATCCAGTCGACAGAGAATTTCTGTCCAGAAAGAGATATTTCAAAATAACCTTTTCAAGCTCTGTTTATGCAAGAATATGGTCTACTGTAAGTGCAGGAGTTACCCAAAGTTTTTCACATGTTTAGAAATTTTTTGGAAACTTGTCATGGCAGCCAATTCACATTCATCAACTCAGTTGCTGAAACCAAATCATTACAGCAAAATCTAACCTTTATATTCACAGCAAAAACACTAGCTCCCTTTGTTTTATGCAAGGTGAACTTGTGAGCAAAGGTCTCCAAGTTATGAACACTAACAACAGAATCTAAAGGAAAGAATCCCAGAATTTCAAAACAATATCATTACAAACTATTGTCAAAATTTAATTT